GGGGGATGGATTAAATACGTGATGGGGATTAAGAAGGGCACTTATGATGACAACCAGCTGTTGTAATGAAGTGTTGAATCACTATATTGTACACCTGAAACTAATATTACATTGTATGTTAACTAACTAGAATGTGAACAAAACTTTTAAAAAATAAAATAAAATACTGAGTTCAAAAAAAAAGGGTTAACTTTTTGGGGTGCCTGGGTGGCTCAGTCGTTAAGTGTCTGCCTTTGGCTCAGGTCATGATCCCAGGGTCCTGGGATCCAGCCCCACATCGGGCTCCCTGCTCCACAGAAAGCCTGCTTCTCCCTCGCCCACTCCCCCTGCTTGTGTTCCCTCTCTCGCTGTCTCTTTCTCTGTGTCAAATAAATAAAATCTTAAAAAAAAAAAAAAAGAAAAACAAAAAAAAGGTTAACTTTTAAATCCTAATAAAATTTTCTAGCTGGAATTATTATTAAAGTTCATTTTCGTTTCATCATGATTATTTCACAAATTCAGTTTAATTGTTTAAAGTACATAAATCCTCTCTTGGCCAAAACTTCTGATGGTCCTGTCCTCTTTCCTTAAAAGCCAAACCAATCAAACTTTTGTTGTAATCAACCTGAAACAATCAGTTTACCTTTGTCTTGCATGACATGACATTATTTTCTGGTGAATTGAACTTGGTATTATACATTTCTCTTTGACATTTTTGCTTGTTCTCCCCCTCCCTTTTCTGTTTGCTTTGTTTTCCTTTTACTTTGGCTCTGGAATGTACTTCTATGGGAGCCTCTTTTGAAATGAGTTTTGAAATCAATTGGGCAAAATTAATTCAATTATTAAAGTAGCAGACATTTCCTTTTTCAGTTACTTTTGTCACATAGTGATGGCCAATATCTCAATTTCCAGACAGAATCAGATACACACATGTGCGGATTTCTGGTCCATTATATTTTGTTGCAGATTCAAAATAATGAGGCACAATTAGAAACAATTCTTATTTAATGGTGGTATTACTGCTCTGAACATAATCTGAGCAGATAATGCAAGTGGGCATTTCAGTTCCTTTGAAATGACTTTTCCATTGGGTGAACATCTGACAAATTCCTCCCTTTATGCAGGCTCCCGTAGACCAGATGTTACAGAAGATGGGGCATGCACAGGGGTCCATAAAATGTGTGGGGGCAGAGAGTATACAGGACATTTCTGTATCTTCCTCTTAATCTTGACATGAACCTACAACTGCTCTAAAAAAATTAAATCTTGGGGCACCTGGGTGGCTCAGTTGGTTAAGCATCCGACCCTTGATTTCAGCTCAGGTCATGGTCTCGGAATGGTGAGGTCGAGCCCCATGGTGGGCTCCATGCTGCAGCATGGAGTAGGCTTGAGATTCTCTCTCTCCCTCTCCCTTTGCCCCTCCCCCTGCTCTCAGTCTCTCTCTCTCTCTCTCTGTTGGTCTCTCTCCCTCTCCCTAAAATCAATCAATCTAAAAAAAATTTAAGTCTTAGAAAGAAGAAAGAGAGAGAGGGGTGCCTGGGTGGCTCAGTCGTTAAGCGTCTGCCTTCGGCTCAGGTCATGATCTCAGGGGCCTGGGATCGAGCCCCACATCGGGCTCCCTGCTCCGCGGAAGGCCTGCTTCTCCCTCTCCCACTCCCCCTGCTTGTGTCCCCTCTCTCACTGTCTCTCTCTGTCAAATAAATAAAATCTTAAAAAAAAAAAAAAAAGAAAAGAGGGGCGCCTGGGTGGCTCTGTTGTTAAGCGTCTGCCTTCGGCTCAGGTCATGATCCCAGGGTCCTGGGATCGAGCCCTGCATCAGGCTCCCTGCTCAGTGGGAAGCCTGCTTCTCCCTCTCACTCCCCTCTGCTTGTGTTCCCTCTCTCACTGTGTCTCTCTCTCTCAAATAAATAAATAAAATCTTAAAAAAAAAAGAGAGAGAGAGAGAAAAATGGAAAAAAGATAAACAGGCCAATTGAATATCTGAAATCCTTTGGCTAAATTCATTTTTTCAATTAAAAATACAAATTGAGGGGCGCCTGGGTGGCTCAGTCGGTTAAGCGTCTGCCTTCAGCTCAGGTCATGATCTCAGGGTCCTGGGATCGAGCCCCACATCGGGCTGCCTGTTCAGCAGGGAGCCTACTTCTCCCTCAGCCTGCGGCTCTCTCTCTGTCTCTGATAAATAAATTAAATCTTCACTTGATCTTAGCCAAAAGGCCGAGAAGCCAAATAAATTAAATCTTAAAAAAAGAAAATACAGGGCGCCTGGGTGGCTCAGTTGGTTAAGTGACTGCCTTCGGCTCAGGTCATGATCCTGGAGTCCTGGGATCGAGTCCCACATCGGGCTCCCTGCTCAGCAGCGAGTCTGCTTCTCCCTCTGACCCTCTCCCCTCTCACGCTCTCTATCTCATTCTCTCTCTCAAATAAATAAAAATAAAATCTTTAAGAAAAAAATACAAATTGAGCCAGACCTTGGCTGGACCCTAGATAAAATGAGAAGCAAAATTACTTTACAAACACATGATGGAATAGTATGTAGCCATTCAAAGTGGTTTTGTAGTTCTGTACTTACTGACCTGGAAGATGTTCATAGCATTACATGAAAAGGGTAGGTTATAAATATATTATGAGCCTATTAAAAATATATTTCAGGGGAAAAGTCTGAAAAGCTCTACATCAAAATGGTAAAATTTATGTTATGTATATTTTACCCTAATAAAAACAAATATAACAGTAGTTACTTCTGGATGCTATGTTTTTTTACTACTAATTTGTATTTTTTTAGTTTTTTTTTTGCAATGGGTGTGTATTATTTGTATGAAAACTAAGTAAATAAATGAAATAATGGTTTAAAAGAAAAGGAAAAATAAAAAAAATAAGTCTGATGCTCTTCAAAAAGCCTGATGCATTTCTGACTGCAGCTTTCCCCTCTACCCATCCCCCACTGGAGCCAGCCTTTCTGGGTCACCTTTTAAAGTCCAGCCTTTAAGGCACTGTTGGACTGGAAGCTAGGAGAGTCCCACTCTAATAGGGCAGGGAGCCAGACGAGGAATGTGAAACAAGCTGAGCCATTTCAGGACACTCTTAAAATATGAAAAAATGACTTTTTCCATCCCAAAAATAATTCAGGGAGTCAAGTCTTGGGAGGGAATTTCGGTCTTAACAGTTAAATCTGGGAAAGGTACAGGAAGTACAAAACTCAAAAGATACCCTACAGAGATTTCTTTTAGCTGACAACATTTAGTTGTTTCGTAAGAGGGATCCAAAAAATGGTATTTCATTGGGTATATTCACTTCCCAAAAGTTCCAGGACATGGCACCAGATCTGTTCTTATTGCCATTTAACTAACCATTCAAAGCCGACTCTAATAAAGGAGGAATTGCAGGGAAGTGAGTGCTTCAGGGCACAGAGGACTTTTCTTCCATTGCTTCGCAGTTTGGGAAAGTTGCCATCCATTCGGGTTTCACTCAAACAACTTTTGCCAGATCCCAGAACAAATTGTAGCCAGAAGTTCTGCTCTTTGTCAGGAGGCAATTGCAGTCCAGACTTAGCCAGGATCTTGCCCTCTCCCTTCAAAGAACAACTTCTCTTTCTGTGTGGGGATCCTGGCTCTCCTTTTACCCAGGGACATCCTTTCTTTCTAGAAAGACTCGACTGTCCCAGGGTTTCTGTTTTGTTTTTACTGTTGTCCGGGTTTTATCTGGATCTCTGGATATCACATCTTCCTAATATCAGTGATTTTAATGTTTAAGCCTTTCCTCTATGTTTTTCATCCTCTTTAGCCACTGCAGTTTAGTGAAGCAAAATAAACAGGCCTGTTTCCATTGTTAGAGACCGCAGGCAATTAATCTTTGAGGAGTTGCCCAGAAGTTGGAGATCTATGAACTCTGAGTCTGACCCCTTGCACAAAGTTAAAGCCAAGGTGCCCAGTACCTATTTTGTGATCAGATACCACTTCCCTTTGTTAGAGATCAACTTTCCTTCCTTTTAAGGCAAAGAATCCTTAAACAAACCACTGAGACAATCCCATTGACTACAAAGAGGGTAAGGCAACTGTTTTATATTTTAAACGTGGTGGTGGTTGCACGACTGAATATGGGTGTTAAAACTTACAAAACTATCAATTTAAAAGGCCAGTTTTTACTGTACATAAATTATACCTCTATTAAGAACACCACCACCAATTCGGTTTACTAACATGGAAAAATGTGTAACATAATACTGACCTAGGAAAAAAGATGGTAGCATTTATAAAGTTTATGTTGATATGTGAAAAAGGAGGAGGAAATCCGGAGAACTTAAAACTGTATTTTGTTGAATAAGGAGATAACTTTCCCTTCTAAAAATTTCTTTGTAATCGGTGCTATGAGTTTCGAGGCTATAAATACGTCTTAAAACTTAAAGGTAAGTTTTTACAAAAATGTGTCGAGCTGTACACTTGAAATTAGTTCACTTTATGCACTTCATGTTACGTGTCAATTAAAAAGTTTTTAAAGAAGGCTTAAAGAAAACTTCTGGGTAGTAGTCACAAGGGTATCTATCCAAATGGAAAAAAAAAAACATTTAAAATGTGAGCAGTCTACCGTATATTCTACCTCAAAAAAACAAAAAACAAACCAAAAAAACCTCTTGAAATTGAAACTATGCTGGCGCTGTGGTGCACGAGCAGTCAAAGCCCGCCAGCGATCGGTGCACTGACTCACCCCCAGAACAAGCCTCCAGTGGCGCAGCCGACCCCCACAGTACCTGCTCCCCGTGGCCTGCGGTAGGGGGGAACCTCTCGGGAGGCTGCGACCCCGCACAAAGACCCACGGCTCCCCGGCACCAGTGGCCTTCGGGCCCACCCGGGCAGGCCGTGGACATCCCCGCCCCTCGGCCCCACTGCTGGTCCGGAAATCGCCGCCTCCGGCCACCCCACCACTCCACTCTTGAGCGGCCGCACTGACGTCACCGCCTCGCCGCCCCGCCTCGCGCCGCCGTTCCGCCCCGCCCCCTTTCCCGGCGTGCGCCGCGGTGAGGCTCCTCGCCCTCGGCTTCTGCCTGTCGTCCCAAGATGGCGGACACAATGAGCCGGCGCCGCGCCGGTTGGCCCTGAGGCGACTGTGAGGAGGAACGGTCCGCGAGCCCTCGCAGTCCGGGCATTAGAGCGTCGCACGTGCAGGAGGAAGAAAGGGAGGAGGTGGCCCGACTGTCGGCCGCCTTTGCGCTCGCCGCCGGCGCGGCGTCCGCCCCGCCCGGGTCGGCCCCTCGGCAGCCAGCCCGCCCGCCCGCTCGCTCGCCGCCGGGCCCCGCCCCAGCCCTGCGCCGCCGCCGCCGCCTCCAGCAGCCGCCGCCATGAAGCTGACCGACAGCGTGCTGCGGAGTTTCCGCGTCGCCAAGGTGTTCCGCGAGAACTCGGACAAGATTAACTGCTTCGACTTCAGCCCCAACGGCGAGACGGTCATCTCGAGCAGCGACGACGACTCCATCGTGCTCTATGACTGCCAGGAGGGCAAGTGAGTGCGGCGGTGGCCCTGGGCCCGGGCCCGAGTCCGTCGTCGGTCCGTCCCACCCTCCTTCCCTCCCGTGGCCCAGCGCTCGCCCCCGCCGCCCTCCCCCGGCCTGTTTTGCATTCGCTGCTGCCAGGGCCGCTTCCACTCCTAACTGCCCAGGAGACCTTTAATTTTCTTTTTAAAAATAATGAGAGTGATAACAACATCGTTATTATTTCGTATGCCTTCGGCCTCCTGGAAAAGCGCTTCTGCATTGCTTGCCAAACCCCACCTTGACCTTGACCTTTAAACGCCCGGTCCGCCCACTTGAGCCCCAGCAGGTAGCTTTTGCGCTCCTCCGACTCTGTCAGAGGTGCCCGTCAGTTCTAGCCCCCGCGCACAACCGCAAAGGCTGCTCTCCTACCTCAGTCAACAGCGTCATAGCTCGCTCTCCCTGCCCTCCTCGGTGACCTCGATTCAGCCCTGGCACCCCGCCCATCCCCTGCCCCTCAGCTTCCCGCGGCCTTCTGCCGGAAGGCCGCGTGGGTTGCATTTCTTAGCTGTCAGGATTTATTTGTTTTGCCTCTTTGGGCCCCCTGTCTTTTCCTTTCTGTTCTGAATCATTCTCTTACTCCCTGAGACCCGATGCCCGCATTTGTAGTTAACTTTTGAACAACATCAGAAACTTCCTTTTTGCCAGAAGAAAACGAACTTGGCTGTCCCATCCCGACCTGAATGGGAACCTGCTATGAAAACAAAAAGGCATCCTATAACAATTTCGTGTTTCCTCTTATACTTTTTTTTTTTATTATTATTACATGGTCCACTTGGAATTATCAGAATTCAGGGTCTGATCCTGAAATTTCTATGTTGCCCTAAGTCCTCTGGAGACCGACTGCTTTGCATCTCATCTCATTCTGTAAAGTCTTAAAAGCACATTTTGCCTTTTTCTCTGGGCCCTTGTCAGCTTCACCTCACCCTTTGTAGACCTGCTTTGCTTTCTCCTTGCTAAATTGTGAGCTCCTTTGGAGGAGAAACTGGTTTAGGCTAGATTTGATTTTCCTCAGCCACTGATTTTCCTCAGCCACAGTAGGGTTGTGGATGTTTGGTTTAATTCGGTGGCTACTGGTTTTGTCAGATTTCATTTGGTTACCTAGCTCCAGATAATATTTTTTGAATTCTCGGAGTTTTCTCTATTTTCTCCAACTGTTCCTTTTGCATTTTGTTTTAAAACCGATGTCTTCTATAAACTTTCTTTTGGAACTTGTCTCTTCATTTGTGAATTTGGTTATCTAAAGTAATTCTGTTTTGGTCTAAGCTGTATCTTCTCCCCAGTTTTTTCCCACGGGGGCTATGAAAAAATATTATGTAACTCGCTCTGATTCCGCCTGCAGTATGCGGAAGAGAGGCCTATAGTGGTGGTCCTGGGGGAGGAGAGAATTGTTAGCTGGACCGTTATTCATTTAGTAGGTGGATTTCTGTCCGGGCCTGGCCATTTGAATCAGATTGGAAGAGAAAGTGACATAGAACTGGAGTGGGCATCAGGGTTGCTGGGTCCTGGAGCTAGAAGTAATTTGAAGCTGACTGGCTTCAAATGTTTGGTGCTTGTGCACAGATTAGAACTTCTTCCTGTAACCTGAGGATAGAGATGTATATTCTCATTCAAAGGAAATGAAGGTTGTGACATGTGACAGCATTCCTTAGCAGTTTGTCTCCAAATGTGGCATAATTTCTACTTTTGGGGAGCAATGACTTGGAAGTCCTGTCTTGTTAGAAGTAAAATGTTAATATAATGACCTAATGTAGTTTGTTCACTCATGTAGCAGTTTTACATAATTACAAACTTGCAGCAAAATTAGAACAGTCTTTCATATATCCCATATCATCTAGTAATCTTTTACATTTTACCCCTTTTGCTTTATCACTCTGTATGTAAGTATTTAGGTACGCGTTTTTCTCTGAACCATTAGGGAATGAATTGGAGGTATCAAGCCCCTTATCTCTAAACACTTGAACATGGATTTCCTAAGTGCAAGGACATTCTTTTACATAACCAGAGTACAATTATCCAAATTAGAAAATTTAGCATTGATATAATAGTATAAGGCACACTTTTTTAAGTTTTCTCTTACCAGTGAATTGTGACATTGTGGTCTGTGGCAAGCCTGGTAGTTAGACCTGGGTTCTAGTTGGTCTTGTGACCAGGTATGTGACAGTGGTCAGATCACTTTAGACTACTTCTTTCACCTTTAAGAGTCCATAATCCTAAGTGGTAATGTGAAGAAAAAATTTGCCACTAGTGTAAGTCAAATGATGAACATTGGTAGAAGAGTAGTGTTTTTTTGGAAGGCATAGTATCTCTGCTAGATGGTACTAATGTTAGAATTTGGGAGCTTGAAAATGGCTAAAACAGCGTTCCTTATGCTTAATATTTTCCAGTTTTTTGTTCATTTTGTCTGTGTTTTGTTAACATCCACTGAGTGATTTTTCATTTTGAAAGAATATGAAAGATATTATCTGCTAGGTGATGCAAATTATTCATAGAGAAGGCTTTAATATTACTTACTCATACTTGATCACAAGAATCATAGTTTGTGGAAAGAAACTTCCCAAAATATTCATGGAAAAATGTAGTGCATGGGCTTGGTAAAGATCCTGTGAAATGAATGTAAAAATTAGGCTCTTGCTTTCAAACTAGGAAGTGATAAGTAAAATTTTCTGTTATTAAGGACAAATCTTCGATTAGTAAATTTGAGATAAATTTGAGACAAATAGACCATATATAAGTGGAACTGAAAATTTTCCTTATACCACACCCTTTAACATTGGCTCTTCAGGATATGTCTTCAGTATTTTGGACAGACCGAATTACTGGGATAAGTAAGCTTTTTCCACTTGCAGAAACAAAATCAACTTTTTTGAGACCAAGAACATGTGCCTGTGCATGCATGTGCTCACTCACTGTTTACCACACAGTAACCCCACAGCAGAACTCAGGATGGTGGACTCAGCAGGGTAGCCTTTGGGCTGATCTTTTTAGCTGAGCTTTCAGTTAAAGGCGAGAAAGTGGAAAATTCAGTGCATATGGAGTGAGAAGTCTTGTTTGGAAATAGGTTTTATCTATCGAAACTCTTGACCCTCCCTGACATTAACAAAAATTGAAAGTGCAAATATTTGAGTTCTTTTTTTTAATAATTTTTATTGTTATGTTAATCACCATACATTACATCATTAGTTTTTGATGTAGTGTTCCATGATTCATTGTTTGTGCATAACACCCAGTGCTCCACGCAGAAGCAAATATTTGACTTCTTAAAGCTGCCTGAGTAATCTGTTTAGCATCTAGGTTCCATCGAGAGGGTGAACTTTCTTTTTCAAAATTGGAACTCTTTGTAAACAATGGTATAGGATTTATGAAATTCTATACCTAAACTTAGAACATGGTGAAGTTTTTGGTTAAAGATTTTGCTGAGATCCGCTTTAGCTTGATCTTTGATTTTCAAGGTTCTGTAGAGGGAAACATTGAAGGAACTTCAAATGGATTGGTAACCTGTAGCTTGGAAATACGTGATTTTGCTTTAAAAAAGAAAAGTAGGGGGGTGGGGGGATGGGTTAGCCCTGTGATGGGTATTAAAGAGGGCACGTTCTGCTTGGAGCCCTGGGTGTTATGCACAAACAATGAATCATGGAACACTACATCAAAAACTAATGATGTATAATGTATGGTGATTAACATAACAATAAGAAAAATAAAAAAAAAGAAAAGTAATGACTAGTTTTTTTCCTAGGGAGAGTTAGTCTTGCCTTCTATAAGGCTCAGTAAGGACTTCAGACTTGTAGGATAGGGAGGATGGATAGCTTCTGTAACAGCAGGTTATGTTAGGAAAGGCAGGCAGTTTTGCATCTAGTTTCAGTTTTGATAAATCATTTCTTCTTGAAGAAAGGACCTTATTTCTTAAGTGAATGGCTTAAGAAAAGTTATGGCCTCACTGGTATGACGTATTCCCATATCTCTCTTTGTTATAAGTTGTGACTTGTGTTTTATGTGCCTTTCTTCCCAAATAGATGTACTTTTTCTCAAAACTTAACTTCTGAACATTGTAGTAAAGACTCATTTGAGCCCTCGGATTTACTTCCATTTCTTAACCTCAGCATTTGGTGTTCAGAGGTGAAAGTTGTACTTGATTGGTTCCATTTGTTTCCTCCCTTTTGGAAGAATTTCTGTTTCTTTCCAGTGTTAGAGTTTCCCAAGAATGCTCATCCTTACCACATCATTCAAGTGCTTCTCTTTATATGAAGATCCCAGATTTTGGTGATGGAGGATTTTGATGGTTTTCTTTCTCTGTCCCATTTCCTCGTCAGACCAAAGAGAACCCTGTACAGTAAGAAATATGGCGTGGACCTCATCAGATATACCCATGCAGCAAACACAGTCGTGTACAGCTCTAACAAAATAGACGGTAAGCAAGCCTTCTTTTTAGGAAGTTGTGGTCATGGTTTCTTTTGTTAAATAGTTCTTGGAATCTTTGTGACTACTTCTGCTTTGGTTAGAGTTCCTTTAATTTAAATATTTTCCTATAATGTTAGCAGTGCCAACATTGTTATGACTCAAGGGATGCTGGAAGCAATCCACTAGTACTTTTGAAGGACTTGAAACGGACTCTGAAAGGTCTCCAGATTAGAGTGGTATAGGAAGCAATGAATTATATTTATAGTTTGTACTTCTTTAAACTTGAATACTTTTAGAATAAATAAAAGGAAAGAATACTTGACATACAGCAAGTGGTAAATAACCACAAATGCTTGAACCATGGTAATTTAGGGACCTTAGAAGAGTTTCTGGTGTATGCCTACCTTTTATGGTCTGTGTCATAAAGGATAGTGTATTGACCTTAATTATCTTTGATTTCAGGGCCTTCTTTTGAAATCTGAATTTGTCCCTTTTCTCTTTTTACTTTAATTTATTTATTTTTAAAGATTTTATTTTTAAGTCATCTCTACACCTAACGTGGGGCTCGAACTCATGACCTGAGATCAAGAGTTGCATGCCATACTGACTGAGCCGACCAGGCGTGCCCTCCCCTTTTAATTTTTAAATAAAACTAATGTCTTTGAAGAGTAAAGAGTTATTTTTAGAAATTAAACTAGTGATTTTTTTCTCTAATAAATGATCGCCGTTTTTACCTGTATTTCCCCTGGAATAAGTCATTCTCAGTTGACAGTTCATCTTGGTAATTGAGCTATGTAACACTTACTTTCATGTTAGGACTCTTTTTTTTTTTTTTTTTTAATTTACTTGGTTTTTTTCTTTTACTTTTTGCAGTAAATTTTTTTTTTTTTTTTTTTTTATTTTTAGAAAGCGTGATGAGGGTGGGGGGAGGGAGAGAGAGAAAATCTTAAGCAGGCTCCACACCCAGCACAGAGCCCATTGCAGATCCAACTTGGGGCTCGATCTCACAACCCTGAGATCGTGACCTGAGCTTTTGAAATAAGGAGATGGACACTTTACTGACTGAGCCTCTCAGGTGCCCCTACAGTAAGATTTTCCTAATGGCATCCAACAAAGATCACTTAGACTGTATTTTGGCCATGCCTATCTCAGGGCGGATGGGCAGAAGTCTTTTTATTTTTTTAATGGGACTTTTCTGCCTGTACTTGATTTTTAGTAAGTATATCATTTCTACTTTTCATGCCTCTATTTCAGAAGTGGTTTTCTAAGTAAGCAGTGCAGTTGATGCTTTTGGACAAGAATATAAATCATTAGAATCCTGAGGAAACATATCTATGTGATCATCTGAATGACTGGTATACTTCTTCTGTTGGGGTATTTTTCTGGGTGAATAAATGTGAGGATTCTCCAAATATGGTGCAAAATGAGGCAAACGTGTGGCACTTGCAGCTTTGCTGCCAGGCCTCTGCTGTGAGGATGTTGTTGCCTTTCCTGTCTCGAGTGCATCCTGAAGAGTTCCTCCAACGCTCCGTTTCCTTTTGCCTGATTCCAGGCTGAGGTAGTAGTTTGTACAGTTTGAGGGTCTGTGATACCACCCGGTACAGGAGATAACTGTACAGGCCACTGCCTTGCCAGGAACAGTGCACCAGCTACTGAGTGGGGCAGAGAGGATGGCGACGCCCTGCTCATCCCGGGGAGCACAGGTAATGGGGAGGAAGTCTTTTTCTGCTTAGGGCAGGTGAGTCGTTTTTAGAAGTAGAACAACCAGGAAGACTTTGTAGTTGTCATTCTAGAACTTTGAAGATTTTCAAAGAAAACTATGTTAGAGTTCCGTTTTGGAACATACAAAGAGTGTGATTTTCCCTCTCCCAGGTCAAATGCCCTGTTATTAGAAAGTACCCCTGTGAACCACTGAAATGACTTGGTGCTTTCAGCCTCTTTGTTTCTGTGTTCTTTTTGCCTCTAGAATGTTCTTTTTGTGCTTTTCTGTTTGTGTTTTGGCACTGTTTCTTACTGCCTCTTTCTCAACAATTGCTTCTTATTCCTAGTCTTTTTGGGGGCATAGCACTTTCCAGTTCTATTCTTTATGGCACTTCATTCCTTTCCCACCACCATCTTTTTTGTTTGCTTACTTTTTCAGATAAAACCTCTTGGTTTTTAAGAGTGTTTGTCTTTTTCTCCCCAAATACAAGCCTCTATGAATTATTCCTTTCTTTGGTATTGACAAAATCTCACTGCTGTGACTTGTTGGTATATTCATGAGTTTGATTTTTAAACGTTTTAAGGTCTTTTTAACCCAAATTTTCTCATTTGTTCTTTTGGTTATTATTTTAACTGCTTTGATGCACAAAGGACCAGTGGATAGTTGGTTAATTTAAAAAGTAGTAGGACATTATTTCTCTTTCCATCTGTTTAGTTTTGTTGTAAATTGTATATCCAGTTAACATTTAGGTCAGGGTTGGGTCGACACACTGTTGAAGAACCCTGGGCGAAAATATTATGCCAGAGTTCAGCCTGATCCTCAGTTTAGCATGGCTGCTTAATTCTTTGAGCCTGTTTCTCAGCAGCTAAATGTTCTCCTTTAAGGCTTGCTATTCTGTGGGTACTAAAACTATTCTGTTTTGGGGGGTGGTGCAAGCAGGGTAATTTTACAGGGCAGGTTGCACTGTAACTATGCAGAAGCCAAAGATGGTGGTAACAGTGATTTTAAACATTGCTCTATATGACGTCGACTTGAGAACTCTGCTTTTGAATTATGTGAAATCTGTAGTGCTCATTCTTCAGCTCTGGAGAGGAATTACCTAACCTTATTTATTCACACCTTTCTTGAGTTATGAAAAACAATGAAATCTTTGGCCTTGTTTTCAAGATGAAAATACAAAGTAATTCCTTTAAAAATAATAGGATATCATCATGCCTTATTTGTCTTCTTACAGATACTATTCGTTACCTGTCCTTGCATGACAACAAATACATCAGATACTTTCCTGGACATAGCAAAAGGTAAGAACCAAGTGTTACAGAAGTAGATAGTTCTTTTATCCCTGAGGTTATCCAGAGACCAGGAGACTAGAGAGATTTTATTAGTGAACTGAAGCTAGTTCCTCACTGCTGCTTGGCATCCTTCTTAGTATTCTCTTGTTAACCCTCCCTAAAGTAGTCAACATTTGGTTGACTGAGGTTGTGGAAGCAGGGGTGGGATTTTGTAGACTAAATCAGGATCTCAGTTAAAACATAATTATGGAAAAAGAGGATTAAAGATACTCAGTGGAAACCTAGGTAATACAAATTATGTTCATCATTTAGAAACCCCAAACAAGCAGATGTCCCTTCATGAAAGGACCATTTATGTGTATGAGGCCTCTTCCAGTATTGGCAGCCCCTTTTCAGCAGGCCTTTGCTTTACATAAATATGTTCCATGAGAAGATCTTAATGAGGATGAAAAAATATTAATAAAATTGTCCTTTGTTACTTTTGAAAGTCCAAAAGCTTGTTTCCTATTCTTTGTAATGCGTTTTGTTTCTCTGTCTCCTACCCCAGTTCCCCCAGTGTTTTTTCCTCCCAATTTTTCAAGTTTCGATTGAATGTTGAACATTTTCCTTTGGATGATACTTAATCATTGAGGGTATTTCCTCGGCCTTTTGTTTGCAAATATACATTAACCTAGTACAACTTGGAGTGGTACAGAACAGGAGGTGGACCAAGAGCACCCTGTTTTCGGCTGTGCTTCTGATTGGGCAGGGCAAATCTGTGTTGCTGAAGATGAAAGGTGGCAGCTCTTGGTTACTATGTAGTTCCAAACAAAGAATGGCTTGTGACAAGTAGATGTTTTTGCTTGTTAGTCAAATTAATGTTCACAAATGTACTGTCTGTAATTATAAGTTGATTGCAGTTTAAAATTCTTTCCAATCTTCCCAATTATCCATCCTCCTGATGATCTGATTCGTAGATGACTTTGTGCCTCTTTTGTTGTTTTGAGAAAATCAAGGCCATCCCAAACGAGTTCTTTTCAACTTCTATTTCATCTGTGTCTTTCTTGGAACCCTTTCCTTAAAAAGAAATAGCCTTTCTTCCTTGATAAAACCAACCTCCCTTTTCCTGCTTGCTTCCGTCTTCTTAACTAGACCCTTCCTTGCTGCCTACAGACTTACTTGGTCTTCCTTATTTTAATTCTCCCACTCCTTTTAACTGTCCAACGTGAAAGAATAATCTGCATACTCCCATCTCCACCTGCTTACACTCACTCATTCACTGTTTAAATCACTCGGTCTAGGGCACCTGGGTGGCTCAGACGGTCAAGCGTCTGCCTTTGGCTCAGGTCATGATCCCAGAGTCCTGGGATTGAGTCCCACATCGGGCTCCCTGTTCCTTGGGAGCCTGATTCTCCCTCTGCCTCTCTCTCTCTCTGTCTCTCATGAATAAATAAATAAAATCTTAAAAAAAAATAAATCACTTGGTCTAGTCCTAGAATCATTTATGGAGCTTTTTCCACGCTGTTTTATTTCCCTTTCCCTGCTGCCTCCAGTTAAAATCTACTGCCTTGGGGTTTGGTTTGTTTGTTTTTGGGTTTTTTTTGGCTTTTTTTGGATGCTCAACTTCTTGGTAACTTTTTTTTTTCCTTTGGCATCTTAACTTTTCCCATCTTGGTTCTACTCTTGCTATTCTTGGCCTCTCTTTCTCCTTTTGACTTTAAAATAAACAAAATTCTACCCTCGTTTTTCTTCCTCTCGATATTTTTTTCAGATATCTCCATCACTAAGTTCATTCAGTGATGAATGGCTTCCCAAATCAGTATTTTTAGCTCATGTCTATCCTGATTTCCAGACTCAGTTTCCACCTCCACGTTTTCTATTCATCTACATAGGTGTTTCTTTCATGCCCCCACCTGACAGGTCCAGCACGCCATCCCTCGTTGTTATATGCCTTGGGCCAGCTCCTCTGTTTGCCTCGTATTTCTTCATAACTGTCCCTCCTGATTATCTTGACTCAAAGCCTCTGTTACCTGTTTGTTTTCTTTCCCCTGCTTTCACATCTCATGAGCTGTTAATCCTGTTGGTTCTGCCTAGGTTTAACCTCGTGTGTCACTCAGCTCTGTACTCTCTCCTTTTCGTCTGCCCCGGCTCATGCCCTGTCAAGTGAATTATTGGCAAATCCTTATTAATCTCCCCATCCCTCATCATCCTGCTTTAGCATCCTGTATTACAGCTCTGACCCCTTCACAGTCTGTGTCCGAAAGCTTTAATGGTTCTCTTCATCTGTCTGCTCCTTCCCCTTGGAGTCAGGCTCACCTCTATCCAGCTCTGACTCATTTTCTCAGCATTATCTCCTGCCACTTGAGTTGAGGTAAACTCTGCGCTGCTTCCTGAATATGGGCCTCATGCTTTCCTATGTGGCGCCTTTTTCATAAAGGCATCTCCCATTGAAATACTGTCCACTACATGTGCTGCTTCTTTGAGAAGGCCTTCTCTGACCCTCTCTTGGAGTTCTCTGAACTAGACAAGCTTCCTGAGAGTTGAGATTTTGCTCCTCATTGCATTCCCTTTACCTCTCAGCATAGAGCCTTGTGCCAAGATAGACTTCCTCTGAGTTTTTCACCTGAATACCGCAGCATTAAAATTACATGTCCATATGCATTCTGCTCACTCTGTTTTATTACCACCCCAGCATTCCCAGGAAATTTGGCTTACAGTATCTTTAAATGTTTAGGTTGAGGAACTAGTATGAACGCTAGTTGAGTTATAGTGCAAGAAATTTTTCTTTAGGTAAAGGTTTAAGAAAAAAGTACATTTTCTTATTTTCTATTCATGGCATAAATTTTAATTCTTTCCAGTGGAACCAAAACTTCCTGAACCGCTTTCAGTGTCATCTAAAACTTGAACTTTCTCTATTTCTAGATTAAAAAAAAAATGCATTCACAAATGAGCTGTGCAATTTGGTCATCTTTTTTACTTCAGACTTCTGTCAAAATGAAGTAGCACAACAACATTTCCTTTATAATCTTCATCTATGACATCAGCTCCTATATCTATGAAGTGTTTTACAGCCAAACCCGAATGTGGAACTACTCTTCCATAATCCAGAAGAAGAGTTACCCAGATGTCTGTTTTCACAAGGGCTTTGTCTATAGGTGGTACTGACTGGAATCGTAGACATTGTACAGGTCATAGCTCCCCTCATTTGGGGCTGTGATGGGCTCTGAGAGCAAGTGAAGTAGAGCCACATGCTGTCCTTCCTTGCAGGCCAGGCCCAAATGCTTGGAGGTGGTAGGTGTCTTCAGAGCAGGGCATGGCAAAGTGCGAACATGAGCAGAGGGGACAGGAGAGCTCAGAGTGAGCCTTTGGAAGAAATGTCTTTGAGCAAGCGACTCTTTTTTTTTTTTTTTTTTAAGATTTTTATTTATTTATTTGTCAGAGAGAGAGCACAAGCAGGGGGAGCAGTAGAGGGAGAGGGAGAAGCAGGCTCCTCACTGAGCAAGGAGCCCAATGTGGGACTCGATCCCAGGACCCCAGGATCATGACCCGAGCCGAAGGCAGACACTTAATGACTGAGCCACCCAGGCGTCCCAGAGTGAGCGACTCTTAATGCTATAACCATAGGAGCGGACCCATATCAGAAATACAGTTGCTGTTAGCGCAGGCCTGTGGCTTAGTAAGTGTGGTGCCCAAACCAACAGTCTCACCATCACCTAGGAGCCTGTTAGAAGTGCAGGTTCTCAGTCTTTACCATAGACCGACTGGATTAGAAGTTCTGGGAGTGGATCCCAGTAGTCTGAGTTTCAATCCACCCTCAGGTGTTGCTGATGGTACTTGGATTTGAGACTTAGTGTAGTCCACGAAACTGTAGTTAAGGAATCATGAGGATTTTTTGTTTTGTTTTTTGATTGAGATATAGTTTAGTACCATAAATTCACCCTCTTAAAGTACGCAATTTAGGTTTGTAGTATATTCACAGAGTTGGGCAAACCATCACCCCTAATCCAGAACATTTTCATCACTCCCAAATAGAAACCTTGCACCCCTCAGTCACTCCCTATCCCCCCTCCTCCACAATCCCAGTAACCACTAATCCACTTTCTCTTTATGGCTTTGCTTATTCTGGACATTTTGTGTAAATGAAATGAGACAGTGTGTGGCCTTTAAAAGTCCAGTTCTTTTCACTTAGCATGTTTCCAAGGTGCATACATGTTGTAGCAGGAATCAGTGCTTCATTTCTTTTCATTAGCAAATAATAATAACATTTTGCTTATCCGTTCATTAGATGATGGGTATTTGGGTTGTTTCCACTTTTTGGCTAATATGAATAATGCTGCTCTGGATGTATGTGTATCTTTTTGCGTAGACATACATTTTCATTTTTCTTGGGTATATACCTAGAAGCGCAATTTCTGGGTCATATAGTGATTATCTGTCTTTAACTTTTTGAAGAACTGTAAAGCCTAAAAAGCAGCTGTACCGTTTTACATTCCAGTCAATAATGCAGGAGGGTTCTGATTTCTCCATATCCTCACCAGCACTTGTTCTCTCTCTTGTGAGGTGGGATCTCCTTGTGGTTTGATTTACACTGGAATCTTATATTTTTATGCTGTAGTTTTAAGTTTCTCTTTTCATTGCTATTAGTTTCATTCATAGGGCTTTTCATTATATTAGTTGCCTTTGGTTATTCCAAATTGCTTGTTTATGGATGTTTCTTAAAATGGCAGTTTTGAGAGAACAGGTGTACGTAGGTAGGAAAGTACCTGTGGTTTAGAGTTCACATCCAATTTTTGCAAATATTTTGCTTCAACTCCTATTTATCTTGATGCATTGCAGGGTGGTGGCCTTGTCCATGTCACCTGTGGATGACACTTTCATTTCTGGGTCTCTTGATAAGACCATTCGACTCTGGGATCTCCGGTCTCCTAACTGCCAGGTAATGGTACCTCACAGTTACACTTTGAGTGTTTCCTATGGTAGGCAATGTCATCAGCTCTTCCTCTCAAACAAGGGAGAAAGTAATGGTTCCATTCTGAGATCCCAGAGTCTTTCTAAACTTTGGAGAAAATCTATCTTCCTGGTAGGTAGCTGGTAATTAAGCAAATACCCTAATCCAGTGCATATTGCATTATGCTCTGTGGCTTTTTGCTTTCAAAACCATTTTCCTGAAACCTGTGAGCTATAGCTTTTATCCTCAAGGAATTTGTTTTTATTTGCATTCAGTGTCTATAGAATTGTACAATTAGGGTTGACGAAGCCAGTTGTATGGAGACCTATTTGTAAAAAGCCCCATTTTACTTAGTTTTGTTTGCTTTTTCTGTTCCCTAGGTAGGCAGGTGTCTATTTGTGTCCCTTTCTTAAGTTTTCATTGGAAAAAGTAAATTATATAGTGGTAGGATCCTGGGTTCATTAACTTTTTTTTCTTATTTTTTCTTAGGGCCTCATGCATCTACAAGGCAAGCCAGTTTGTTCCTTTGATCCAGAAGGGTTAATTTTTGCTGCAGGTGTCAATTCTGAAATGGTCAAACTTTATGACCTTCGCTCTTTTGATAAGGTAAAATCTTTGAGTCTTTGAGCTATCTGGGTGTTATGGAAGTTTTGAAGGGTAAGGTGAGAGCCTTTTCCATGGTAGAGGAGGTGTGTGGTAGACTAATATTAGAGAATGTCGGAGCAGTATTCTTCCTCTCCTTTTCCTAGTCAAAAAGGAACCTTTCTTTTAATTTAAAGATTTTATTTATTTATTTGACAGAGAGACGGACAGTGAGAGAGGGAACACAAGCAGGGGGAGTGGGAGACGGAGAAGCAGGCTTCACCCTGAGCAGGAAACCCGATGCGGGGCTTGATTCCAGGACTCTGGGATCATGACCCGAGCCGAAGGCAGGCACTCAACAACTGAGCCACCCAGGCGCCCTGTCAAAAAGGAATCTAAAGGGATAGAATGAGAGTTGGCTCTGCCAGGAGGAACACTGATGGGCCTTGGGCTGGGGCTACTGTCTTTATCATTTCAGGGGCCATTTGCGACTTTTAAGATGCAGTATGATCGGACTTGTGAGTGGACAGGACTTAAGTTCAGCAATGATGGTAAACTCATCCTCATCTCCACCAATGGCAGCTTCATCCGTCTCATCGATGCATTCAAGGGAGTGGTGATGCACACCTTTGGGGTGAGCTGACAACCTTTGAGCATGGCTATTTCCATGCTTCTACCTCCTGGGCTATTTATGTTAGCTGGTTGATGGAGACCAGCAGTTATCCTGGACTCACCAATGCAGGCACGGCTTGCATTTTCATTCTGAACATGAACTTCTCTTGGATTCTGAGACATTCACTTCTCACATAGTGACCCAAGTTTGGAGTTTAGATAGAAAATAATTCTTGACCAAAATAATTTTCTTGCCGCATTGAATATGGAATTGGAGATGGGGTTGAATTGTAAAGGGTGGCAGCCTTGTGTGGAACATTGGTGATGCGATGCATGAAGAGGAGAGGGTTTCATGGAAACGAAGGTGATGTGTGTGCTGGCTCAGTGTTTGCAGGTAATTATTTTATGTTAACAGGGCTGTGATAAGAGAACTGTTCTTGTTTTTAGGGTTATGCCAACAGCAAAGCTGTCACTCTGGAGGCCTCGTTTACTCCAGACTCCCAGTTTATTATGATCGGTAAGCTTTCTTTATCCGCCTTAGGGGTTATTTCTCTGGTACTGTGCATTTATTTTTATTTTTTCTATTAGTTTTAACTAATTAAGATACTATCTGTTACCCTTTTGATAGACGTTCTCAGATTTCGTATAACAGCACATTATGCCAAAGTTGTAGTGTCTTTATCCTGATTTTGCAGTTCCTTACTGGGAACTGGCATTAATAATGTTGGTCTTCCCTCGACCAGCATAAGAATTAAACTCTACAAGCACGATCTTATTAGTAATACTAACTTCCTGATTTAACCCTGCATTCGGTTGTCAGTGGCCCGATGTTGGTAGAGTGTGATGGTATTCAGCCCTGTTGAGAAAACTGAAGTTAGGGGGGAAATGACATGCTCAGGAACAAATAACTGAGAGTTAAGATCAGTTTCCTTTCTTCACTGCCTCTCCTCCCTCAGTTTCTCATGAGGGGCTGGGTCCTGAAGCTTGGCTTTTCTCCAGATGTCAATCTGTGTCTTTCCCATTTGTCTTTGCATTGCACCTTGAGTTGTTGTATTTTCCCTTATCATTCCCTTTAGGTTCAGAGGATGGCAAGATCCATGTCTGGAATGGAGAGAGTGGTATAAAAGTAGCTGTGTTGGATGGCAAACATACAGGCCCCATTACATGTTTGCAGTTCAACCCCAAGTTCATGACCTTTGCCAGTGCATGTTCCAACATGGTATGTGAACATGGGAGATGTCTTCCATTTAGGGGCCCTTTCTAGTTGGGGTGGTGGGTGCTTCAGTGAGCACAGCAAGTTGTGTTCTATATAGGTATGTGACAAGCCTCCAGCTTCTTATCCTCAACTGGTGGCGTCTCTGGTTCTCACCTATTATCTGATCTCTGGTTGGACTAGTCTTCCCCCCCCGTCCTTTTTAAGATTTATTTATTTTATTTTTGGGGGGAGGGGAGAGGGAGAAGCAGACTCGCTGCTGAGCAGGGAGCCTGGCTCAGGGCTTGATCCCAGGACCCTGAGATTACGACCTGAGCTGAAATCAAGAGTCAGACGCTTATGGACTGATCTTTCACTTTTACTTTTACCCTTCTTTTCCTGATCTGAGATCACCTCTGTTCTGCTGGGAGATCTCAGGCCAGTTTTTGCTGTGGCCCCTGGTTTTATGCCCAAACTACTTGGGACTACACCTCATAGTTTTCTGGCCTTTTTTTTTTCCTTTTAAGATTTTATTTATTTGAGAGAGAGCACGTTCGCACGAGCAAGGGGGAGGGGCAGAGGGAGAGGGAGAAGCAGACTCCCTGCTGAGCAGGGAGCCTGATGTGGGACTCAATCCTGGGACCCCAGGATCATGACCTGAGCCGAAGGCAGATGCTTAACTAACCAACTAAGCCACCCAGGCATCCCATTTTTTGGCCTTTTTAAAAAATACTTTGAACCAGCCTTTTGTGGCTGCAAACTCTCAGTGTGCTGTTTCTTTCAGTTTATGCTGAATTCCTCAGAAAATCATACAGTTGATCATAACTCACTACTTAGAATTTCCTCTAGTCCCCTGTCTCTTCCTAGGCAACGCTAGCAGAACAAAGCAAAGTGTGTCTCAGTCTCAAGGTTCTTTTTGGCATCTCTTAAATCTACCTGGGTATTTGAGGATGAGGGATTTCGCTTCTAGCCTACCCAGAACACATTGCCCCCTTGGCTCTTTTTTTTTTTTTTTTCCCTTTTTTTCCAACTAAGGAAACTGTGTCAGAAGGAAATGCAACAAAACCATCTAGTTCAATTCCTCTCACTTTTTTACAGCTCAGGAAGGAGAGGGCCTGTTGGTGGTCACCTGGCAGATTAGCAGTGAGTCCAGGTTACCCAGACACCCACCTCCCAGACGGCTTTCCTGTTTTTCCTTACCACTGGGCCACTGGCATGGAAGGTAGACAGTGTTGGAGACAAGACCAGCTTGCTTTCGCATGGAGGGGGTGTTTCTCCCTAGATTGCCAGAATTGATTGGTCATGAGGGAAGGCCACCAGCCAAAATTCCTCCACCGTTGGGGTTGGGCACCTTGATGCTATGGGGAGGGGTAAGAACCCTCAGCAGTGAGGAGAGAGGCTTGGCTTTTAAAAGTTGACTTCTTTTTCTCCTTCCAGGCCTTCTGGTTGCCCACCATTGATGACTGACCTTGGTGCTGCTCGGCTGTTTGTGTACAGTGAGGGTGGCCAGCAGGAAAGAACTCAGAGGGGACTGAGATAATGGATTGGATCATTTGACTGGGCTGGAGAGCATCCTTCCACATGGCCTTCCCATGGATGTGCTGTACATCTGCTCAAAAGAAAAAAAGTACTTTGCCGAGCTTCATCAAAAAGACTCTTGGTGTGGCAGATTCTATCAGGACTTAGATTTTACAGCTGTCACTGCACTGAGCTCCTCCAGAGGAGTGACCAGATTCATGATTAGGGTATACTGGGGCCCTCAAGACGCCTTCAATTTTGAATGTATTTGCTGCTGAGGAGCCGGTGAAGTTGTTAATTCTGCACATCCCATCTCCCACCCCCATAAATGCATGGGAAGCCACAGTTCTGGTTTTGAGATGCTAAGGGCAGCTCAGCACCCCTTGCCCTCACCCTGCATGTCTTGTTACTGGGTCTCCCTGTGTCATTGTGGCATTTTTCCACAGCCATCATGTTACTTAGGTGCCAAACATTTACAGAAGTAAGTCTTCATATATCTTGGGGTAAGAAAGGGATAGATACAGAAAGAAGGACCTTGCTTGCCAGGAAGCCTTGTGAGTTAAGTCATGTGAGGGTGGGTGATCTGGGCATGCCTCAGGGCTCCGAGTGTTGGGTGGGAAATGGCCCAAGAGCCTGAAAGGGAGGAAGTAGGGGTTGCAGGTAGTTTCTATGGCTGGGAGGTTTAGTGGTAGCCTAGTGTGATCCCCCGTCATCAAGACAAACCTGCGGTCTTTCTGGGTGCCTGCCAAGCTTGGTTTTGTACAAAAGCAAGGTGGGAGTCTATTTTTGTACATGAGCTACATCACGCTTTCCTGTGGGCCAGTATTGTGGAGTGAGTCTGAGTTGTTTACACTGATGCCTTCCCTGCCCACCACAAATTGTGTACAGTCTCCAGATGATAGCACCCCTTCCCAGCTCCCAAGCAAGAGCTGGCTCTAGGCCTGTGTTATATGTTATATTTAGCCTTTTTATATATGACATGGGGTTTCTGTTGTTTGTATTTTAGCACAGTGTGTACACCTTCCTTTAAATATATCCGTGCGTGCGTACATATATATGTATATGTATGTATGCAGATATATATGTATATAGAATATGTCATTTCTCACAGTTCAGCAGAAGGCGGTGGAGTCCGGCAGCCCAGGAGAAAGACTGAATCTTTGCTAATAGTGTTTGCCACAAGTGTTAGTGAGTTTCTTTATTACCTTTATTCCTTTGGGAGACAGAACGAAGCAAAGCTTCAAGTGTTTGCTGTTCCCATGGCAGCTAAACGAGGGTCTTGGGATAACTTCCCTTGTGTTCCTCAAGCCGCACTTTGGGGCCCTTTCTGCAGTATTAGCCCCTTTTTGCTCGATGATGCTCTGTCTGCGCCTATACATGTGTGACAGTCACTCCTGCATGCCTTTTGTGTCTGGCTTCTGGCGTTTGGGGACACGATGCTGGAACCAGAGCATTTTCAGTTTGTCTGAAGCTTCTTTTCCAATTACAGGCCATTCCTGTTTACCTGGTATGTCTGCTGCTTTTCCTTGCCTTCTCTTGGAAGGGGGAGAGGTCTTGGTCAGGGTTGCGATGAGCTAAGGCTGGCTCATGGCCTTTCCTTCCCCTGCATGGCCTTCTTAGAGCAGGACCAGTGGCATATTAGTTCACTAAGTTCCCAAACATGTAAGCAGGTCACGTATTCCCTGCAGTTACAGAAACGGGCTCAACAAGGTTATGACTTGCCCACGAGTACATAGCTGCTAAGGGGAAGCAAGCCATTAACTGCCTTCATTCAGCAGCAGGAACACGCTGTGAATTGCTAGCAGTTACAGTTCTGTTTTGTTAGCAGTTACTTTTGACTTGTTCCTCAAACTTAAAGGCCAAGGGGCATACATCTTTCCAAAACATAGACTCGAATCTGCAGCTTTTCTCCAGTGCCACCCACTATCTATAGCTCTGCCTTCTCAAGAGTGGAGGGATTTTTAGAAAGCAGGTGATCTGAGCTATTACTGCCCACTTCTGGCTCTCCAGGGTAGAGAATTCATGGTAGGAATAACTGTTCAGAGTGCTTGAGACTGGGGGTTTACCAGAAGAGCTGCATGATGAACATACCTGCAACCACAGCAGCCACTTGGCTGTCAGCAAGGAAGATGATTTCTGTTGAGTTTCTGGTGTCCAAAGCTAAGGTACCATGTCCTTTGAAATATGCACGGCACTGCCTGTCTTTCTAGGGACCCATGGCTACAGAGCTGGCTCCTGAGTGTGCAAGGAGAGGAAAGATAGGGCTGGAAGTGACTGGGGACGATGTGTGGGAATAAGGCAGAACAAAGGGAGCAGAGGGGCTGGGCCTGCAGGGATGCTCTCCATGGAGCCAGGGATACCCTAGCTCTCCAGGGTGGGAGGGGGCGCAAACCATACTCTCGAGAGTCTAGGCCAAAGCCACCGATTTGTATGTGACACTGCACTGCTCAACCACCAGCCAGTGGGGTGTTTTTTTTGTTTGTTTTTTTATTTTTTTTTTTTTAGAAAAAAAAAAAACTTCCCTGTTGCAATCATAATTAATCCTTATTGAGGAAATTTGGGGAATTTTAAAATGAATCAGTTTGCCACCCAAATGCTTACCACTGTTAATCTTTTGGTGTTAAATGTTCCTCTAGACATTTCTGTGCATAGATTTTTGGTGTGTTTACATAGTTGTTATTCTACTGTATATACAATTTTATGTCCCTTTTGTACTTAACATATAAACATTTTTTCCATGTTAACAGTCTTAAACAGAATTTTATGGCTGTAGCCTCTCTCTTATTGAGTTTCCATAGCCTTGTTTGCCTGGTTCCCAGAGTTGGAGGGAGGGGTGGGTCGTCTCCTGTCGGTCATCCTGACTCACCTTGGGACTCATGATAATGCTGTGTGGATGGATTGTTGGGCTCCTTGGGACTGTCCCCTGCCTGTCCCTGGTGGCCAAAGCCTGGGGGCTGGTGGGAAGACCCCCTGGACCCAGACCTCAACGCATCGCAGCCTGGGTCTCAACCACAGGTGCTAATAAGCAGCCACAGGACCAGAAATGAGTGGGCAGAGCCAACCCGAGCCAGCACTGAAGTAGCATTTCAGACTACCTGGCGTGTACCTTAGGTTGCCTTTCATCCCCCGTTGTTACCTCAACACTTGATCAGATTGGCAGCCTCTAGCTGGAATAAAGTTTGGCCCGCTAGGCCCTGGCTTCTGTGGGGCAGGGAGAATGGGGCCTCTTCTTTGGCTCCTGCACTAGTTCTGGCAGAGGGCCTGGCCAATAGCTTGATAACCCATTGCCTGGCTGGTGAGTTGGCAACTCCTAGAGCCCATGCACTAACTCAGTATCCTCAGAGCTGCCTGCCTCTTCTTGGCCACCTCTGAACCAGGGAAGACACCCTTGGGCCTGCCACCTTGCCCGTGGTCATTGGAGGTTGGCCAAGGATTATGAAGAGCCGCAGAGGGAACATCCCAGCTTGTGAGTGATGGTAGGCCATGCATAGGTTCTCCTGGCAGACGGCTCAAGGAGAAAGCCCAGTGGGAGGCCTGCTGCAGCCTTTGGCTCTGCTGAGACACATGAACACGCAGGTCAGCATGGCTGACCCTGCAGCGGTCACTCCAGCCAGTTTGACGTGCTTGCAGTTGAGAGCACCATGCCCACCCCTTGGGCTTTGGCCTTGTGTGAGGAGCAAGAGCAGAGACAGCGGGCTGCCAGGGTGAGCTGCCTCCGCAGTTGATGGGGGTTAGAGGCAGGCACAGGATGCTGCCCACACTGCTGGGGGGCAGGTGTGTTTGCTGAAGAGAGGAAGTCAAACTGCAGGCTGCTAAGGCACACTCTTGCGTTGACTAGCCACCTAACTAGAGCAGGCCTGGAAAGGCTGCCAGCACTTCGGGGGCCCCCAGGATGTCAGGGCCTAGCTGTGGCCAGACGGAGGCCCAGAAGTGCCTGAGAAATTTGGTAGTTTTCCCTGTCCCTTCCCTGGAGAATGTATAGGAAATGGGAGTCTAAAATGAGTTAATGAGGGGCACCTGGCTGGCTCAGTAGCGCATGTGACTTTTTTTTTTTAAGATTTTATTTATTTATTTGAGAGAATGAGAGAGAGAGAGAGAGAGAGAGAGAGCGCACATGAGAGGGGGGAAAGTCAGAGGGAGAAGCAGACTCCCCACCGAGCAGGGAGCCCGATGTGGGACTCGATCCCGGGACTCCAGGATCATGACCTGAGCCGAAGGCAGTCGCCTAACCAACTGAGCCACCCAGGTGCCCAGCGCATATGACTCTTGATCTCAGGGTTGTGAGTTCAAGCTCCACACTGGGCATGGAGCTTACTTTAAAAAAATAAATGAGCAAATTAAAAAATAAAAATAAAATGAGTTAATGGGCAGGAAAGGGGGCCTGAGAGCCTCCCCAGTAATCTAAACATGTAAGTTTTACCATCAGTTCTGGTGCGTCTTAGCCCATGTCCCTCCTGGCCCCCATCTAGGGTTGTGGGTTGCCTGAATAGAATTTTTGTAAACTAAAGTAGGTGTGAGGCTGAGATCATAAAGGTGGTCGCCTTGTAATTCAACAAATGCTTCCGAGCACCTGGGCCTTGGCAAATGCTAGGTGATGACAGTCTTTTTTTTTTTTTAAAGATTTTATTTATTTATTTGAGAGAGAGAGCATGAAAGAGGGGAGGTCAGAGGGAGAAGCAGACTCTGCTGAGCAGGGAGCCTGATGCGGGACTCAATCCCGGGACTCCAGGATCATGACCTGAACCGAAGGCAGTCGCCTAACCAACTGAGCCACCCAGGCGCCCAGGTGATGACAGTCTTGTGGGGAAGGTGAAGAACTAAGCTGTTCATCAGACAGTAAGCCCTGGAACACTGATTTGTCTCCAGCTAATTCTTGGTTTATCGAAGTAGGCGTGCAAAACCAAGTTAAAGGCACTCCTGCTACATCAAGCCCAGAGCTCACGGATGGTGGTAGAGACTTTTTTGTGTCCTAGACCACAGTTCTCACTGGGGCTCACCCCACGCTGGGGACTAGGGAGGCCCTCGGAGAAAATGCAGTCCTGACTATAGGCAAATTTGCAAGGGGGAGCGGAGACCGATTCTTTGGAAAGTAACAAGAAAGAGCAAAAAAGTGTACTATAATGCCAAGCTTTACAGCAATTCATGATTCACAAGGGCTCTTCAGCACACATTTAATAATAGGAGGTGATGGGGAGTAACAAAACCAAACGCATTGCTGACACATCAGCCTATGGCAGGGCTGGGGGCCAGGAGGGAGTGATCGGGGGACATTCCCGGCTCAGCAAAGAGTCCCGGCTCTGGGGCTCCTCTTGCCTCTTTCTGTTCTTCCCCAACTTTAGGCCCCCGAGCCTGTGCCTCATTTCCAGTGGCAGAGGGGGGCAGGGCAGTACCTGGGCTGGTCTCTCCCAAGGGGCTGATTCAAATCGGCTGTTGAGCAGATAGAAGGCTACCCATAGTTTCCCATAAGGCACCTTGCATGGGCTTTGGGGGTTATTGAGTAACTATCCTGACATTCATGGGTTGGAGACCTGGATCCAAACAGGCTCTTCTGCCCCTCCTGGCATTTGTGGCCAATGCCCTTAGTCCCACTGTCCCCATCTGGGAATAACGCTGGGCTGCTAAGACCCTGTCAGAGAAGCACCCCACCCCCCCACCGCCCTGGGTTTCCAACGTTGCAAAGGGAGGTTATTAATACTGCACTCTTGCCCTGCCTGCCAAAGGGCGGACCTGGGGAGCTGGGCTCTCCATACTCTTCCTGTTTCAGCTGCCTGGTATAAATGCTCTCCTTGAAATAGGCTGGGGTGGGGGATCACCCCATTGTGTCTGGGGCAGGGCAGGTAGGCCTGCTGTTGACCATGGTGGAGGGATGCTCGGACTACACCCGGCCCCAGAATGGTTCTGGGATATAGTGTCTGAATCCTCAGTGGCCACCGCTCCTCTGGCCCTGGCTGTGCAACGGAATCACGAACACCGAGATGTCGTCGTAGGACACCTGCCCGTCCCCTGTGGGACCGTCGTCCTTTCCCTGCGTGCTGTGTATCAGCGTTTGGGCCAGCTCCGAGAACCTGTGGGGGTCATCCTACAGATGCACTTTGGAGCCACAGCAAAGAGGCAACGGCCCCCCTCGGGGAGAACTTGCTGCATAGGGCTGGACACGTGGGGACCCAAACAATGCAGTCCAGCTGTGGAGCCAGGCAAGCCATAAGCATGGGAAGGCCACAGGCTGGACCATGGAGATTTTTGGTCCTGGGGATTTCTGAACCCGGAGATTTGGGGGACCCACAGTCACCCCCCCAGAAGTGAATTGCTGTAAAGAGCTCCACTCCTGACCACATGCCCCGAGCCGGGCGCATCAGCACTGTCTGCTCAGCCACAACTACATCCTGGTGTCGCTGCTGGCAACAGGCAGGTCCCCAGAAGCTATAGTACCTGTGCGGGTCCTCTCGGTTGCCAGGGAGGAAGCTCCGTACCAGCCGTGCCACCTGCTCATTGGACAGGACATCCCAGAGACCATCAGTTGCCATGACAACCACATCCTCCTCCTGCAGCTCCAGTTGGTCCACATCCAGTACAGTCACCTGCAAGTTAAGCCCGAGGATCCCTCAGCGCTCCCTTCCCGGCTCCCGCCTGCCTCATCATCTGCTTTTCTGGGCAGATGGAAGCTGGTGTGGGCTTTGCCCACTCACCTGTGGGACAGAGAGCAAGAAGGGCTTGAGCTGAATGTTTGTGTCCAGGACTCTGAGCTGATGGTCTCCCAGGCCCCGGGAGACAGCCAGTGTTCCCAGTAACCGAGCCTGGGGACAAGGGAGACGTGAGGTGACAGCAAACAGCCCCAGCCAATGTGCAAAAAAGTAACACAGACGCGTACTGTGGCCCTCAGGTGCCCTGGGTTGAGGGACAAACATCCTGTAGCCTTGGAGCAAACCCCGTGACCCCAGCCACAGCCCCCAACAAGGAAGAAAGGAGCTCCCACCTCTGCAGGGAACAATTTAAGAGGGGTTCTTAGAGGAGGCCATTCACTGACCTGTCTACCCTGCCCATGGATCAGTGGGTACTTGAGATCCGACTTCTCCACGCACTTGTAGCTCCTAGCAGGAGCAGACCCAGCATCAACGCTGGCCCCACCCACCCCCTCGCCTCCCCGCACCAGGGAGCCCACCCTGCCCAGGTGGAGGAGGACACACACTGGGCCTGGATGCCAGGGCTCTCCCCACCGTCTCCAACCCCACCTCACTCACCAGCCTCTCATGTGGTGATCCCGGAACAAAACCTTCTGCCCCAAGTCATCCCCCTTCAGTCGCCGAGGGAACTCCAGTCGGGTGAACTCACCTGCCAGGAGCTCGGGGTAGACGAAGGCCTGGGGTAGGGGGGACAGGCACAGACCAGGCTCTCTCTGGTGGCCTCCGGTGACTCTGGACTCACAAGTTGGGGCTCCACAGCCTCCCTCCGCTAAAGGCACCTACCAGCTGCTGGATCCGCTGCCGCTCAGTCTCCGGGGTGAACTCAGAGCTCAGGGGCCGAACCTCATCTTTCCGTACCAATATGGCCCTGGACGGGGTTGCCGAAGAGAGGGAGAGGTCTGTGGGGCAGATTCCCCCCTCATTCATGGCCTCACTCCTGTCGGCCCCTCCTCCAGCCACCAGGGACCAGTTCTGCCCGCCCCCCTACACCCCGTGACTACCTACAGCCTGCAAAGTAAAGGCTCAGCCCTTGGACTTGGCGCTCGAGGTGTCTGCCCTCCCTGGCATCTGCTGTCCACTCACACCTGACAGGCCAGGTACACCCAGCCAGTCAATCCCCATTTCCATCCCTCCACTTCCAGCCCCCTTTCACTGTCCCCCCTGCCCCTGGTGCCCGCCTGCCCGCACCACCCCACATACCCTCCAGCTCTTACCTGCTGTCCCCAGCATTGGCCACATACAGCTTGCCCTGCAGGGACACAGCCACCAGGGCTGTGCAGCCGCCCACTTGGCCTGAGGCCTCCAGCTCCCGCCCGATCACCTCATCCTGGGGCAAACCGAAGCCACCTGAGCTGCTGCCAGTACCGCCACCACACCACTCTGTCCCCAGTCCCCACCCCACCGTTCACTTCCCCACCAGCCAGCCTGGCGGTCCCCACCCAGAGTCTAGTGCTGACTCCAGGATCCCTGTGGTCAGAGGAGCTAGACGTATCCCCTGGGAGGGAGGGAAGTCCCATCCAGAACTGAGGAAGGGAAAGCAGCCCCCGCACCAGGGACCGGCAGGGCGCACGAGGTACGCAGCACGGAAAAGCACCTAGCACGTCCCAGGCGCTGGGTAAACGGGAGGGCTTATGATGACAGCGATGGCCCTTACTAACAAGCCAACCCCAGCCTGTCCTCCCAATGCAAAGATCCAAGGAGACCACCGCTGTGGGTAGGGGTGCCCCTCGGGTCCCTGGTCCCTTCCCCAGCCAAAGGCCACACTCACACATTCCTGGAAGGCACTCTCCAGAGCCCCGATCACCAAGTCTTCCGCCCTAATGCCCTTTTCTTCCACAAACTGGGGATCACTGGGGCAGACGCAATGGCCGCTGAGGTGCATGGGGGGCCGAGTGGCCACCATGCCCTCTACCACGGCCTCCAGCTGCCGGCGCAGGCAGGAGTGCAGGGTGTTGGCGGCCAGAATGGCTGCAGCTGGACCGCCGTGCCCATCGAACAGGGCCCAGTAATGACCTGTCAGGAACTGTGCAGGAAGGGCTTGGCGTCAGGCTCTGCCTGGCTTCCCCAGCTCTGCCCTGGCCCAGAGTGGGACACTAGAGCAAGAACCTCAACCTACAGTCCTGGTCCCAGCCTGAAAGCTGGGCTGGGACCCAGCTGTACTCACCTCCTCTGGGCACAATGTCAGCCACTCCCGGTCCTCTTCGGCCCCAAACTCACATCTCCCTATGCACAGCTGCCCACAGGCCGCCTGATCCTCATTGAACTCAGACTTCTCTGCATTGATGATCCTGAGACCGGTAAGTGGTCAGTGACCCTTCAGGGACACACCCATGTCCCCACGGGCAGAGACCAGAACTGGTACACAGAAGGAGGAGCCATACCCCTGAGGCAGCAGCCCCCATGCTGCCCCTGACACACATCTGGACAAACCTCAGGCTAAGGCAAAACTCGGGGCCCAGCCCCCCCTGGAGCCTACCCGCTGACCTAGGCTGGGAGGTGAGGGTGGGGCTGCCTGGGGAGATCTGGGCTCCTTTGCCTATCCTCCATCCCATCTCAGCCAGATTTCCTGTCCCATACAGCACAGGCCACAACCCCGGGTGAGATGCGTGCGTGCGGGGGTGGAAGGTAGCTCCGAGGCCCACGATGCTGGAACTCTACCCAGGGTCCCTGCCTCATCTTGGAAGCCCCAGAGGTGCAGGTCCTTCCCAACTCGCAAGCCTCTCTGAGGGAGGCTGGAGTCCCCAAGAAAAGGCCGCGGTGGGACTGGGAGTCGGGGTGGGGGGGTAAGCTGTCAGAGTCCCAGGTGCGGACCGGAGGGAGGTAGAGCCACAAGACTGGGGGCCGGGGGCACTCGCTCAGCTTAGGCTGTTTTCCAGGTTGGTCCCGGCGCCGGGATGGCCCAGCAGGGCCGGGGAGCGGGGGAACCCGGGGAGCGGGGCACTCACTCGGCGTAGCCTGCGTTCCAGGGCAGCGCGCGGCCCCGCGCCGGGCTGCGCACGGGCCGGGCGTCCGGGCGGCGCGGGGCGTCGGCGGTGCCGGGGCCCGAGCCCGAGCCGCGCAGGAAGCGGGGCCGCCGGTAGGGCACCGGGCTGGCGCGCGGCCGGGGGGGCCGCGGCGCGGGGAGCGGACCCCCCGGCAGGAAGCGGCGCCGGAACCAGCCGGCGGACATGGCGCGGCGGCAGGGGGCTGCCCGCGGGGCGCCGGGCGGGAGGAGGAAGCGGGCCGGGGGGCGGGGCCGGGGCGGGGCGGCGACGCCCCCAAACCCCCGGCCTCCCGCGGGGAGTGCGCGCCCCGCCTGGCGCCCCTCGGGCCTGTCGAGCCTCGTCACGACCCCGAGGGGCCGAGGCTGTTGTCAAGCCCACTTCACAGGCAAGAAAACTGAGGCCTCGAGAAGCGAAGCGGCTCGCCCGCGTCACACAGCCAGCCGCCCGAGCAGGCCGGGTGCTGCTGCACACGCGGGGTGGGGGGGCGCTGGCCTGGGCGAGGAAAAAGGCCCTCCCGGCCACCCAGCGAGGTGACGGGGTCGTTCGGAGGCTGGGCACGCCCCGTCCGCCGCAGAGCCCCCGGCCTCCTCCTGCTGGGCCCCAGCCTTGCGCAAGGGGAAGATGAGAACAGGATGTGCTTGGAGGTGTCAGGCTGACGCGTTGAGTCAGTCTCAGGGCACAGGGTTCCCCCAGGTGGCCTTCATTCCCCACCCCCGCAGTCTGTCTCCCTCCGCCCCCACACGGGGCTTGGTGGTCACCCCAGCCTTCCTCATCGTGGGAGGCCGCTCCCCATTTCGGGGACAACCTCCCAAACGACCCCCCCACCCCCCGTCAAGATGTCCTCTCTGGATAGACAGCAGGATCTTTACACTAGAGTGTTCCTGCCTGGTGGACAAGAGGAATTCATGGTCCCCAAAAAGCTCCAACCAGAGTTCAGACCTGGAACTAAGGGAAGTGAAAGACTTTGATCTTCTCTGGAGGCAGGGTGTTGCAGTCTCTTCACCCCTGACCAGCTGTCACAGTGGGGTCCGCAGCAGTGTCTCCCTTCGCATCTGCTTTGTCACCCTTCTGTCACTTAAGCCCAACTCCTGGTGCAGGAGTGTTCTTTCTCCCTCATAAGGGGGTCTCTGAGGCCCACAGAGGGGAAGTGTCCTGCTGCCCAGGGTGTGCTGTTTCCATTACGACAGTTCAGCTGACGCAGAGCCCCCACAGGGGATTTCTCTTCCCCTTTCCTCCTCCAAAAACGCAGTCTTGCCAACTCAAAGGCCCTTAGCCCAGGGTCCCTGGGGAGAGTTGCAGGAGGAGTCCCTACCTTTTCCTCCACTGCCCAAGCCTAGCACATGCTCACGAGACCCTACTTCCTCTGGGCTGCCAGCCCTGCCCCATTGGGAGGTCCCCCTGCCCAAGGAGAATTTTTCTCGAGATGGGAAGGTGTGCTCCATGTCCGCTCCCTCAGACGACTCCAGTCCAGAGCAGCCTGGGGGCTAACTTACTGACCCCACTGGGTGCACCAGGCCCCAGGCTGGGGACAGAAGCACAGCACTAATGGAGATGGGCTCCCTGCTCTGATGGTGAAGTCCTGGTGGATGGTGCTGGATCCAGCTGGCAAGGGGGTGGGGGCTAAGTCAGAAAAAGCTTCCTAAAGGACCCCTCCCTGAGCTGTGCCCTATCATTGGAACAGAAATGGACCAGGGACCCAGGGTGAGGCAGACCCAATTCAGTCTGTGGGGTCACCTCGTCATCCCTACCAGCCAATGGCTCAGAGGGTTTTAAAGTCTAAAATGAGAGGAAACAACACACAGTCTATTCCTCCAACCCACTGTCTTGGACTCCCCTGGGTGGGATGACTCCTGTCCTGTCAAGTCTATTCAGAGAAGCTCCTGAGGTGTCACAGGTGGTCTGTTGCTCAGCGTAGCTGTGGAGCCCTATGAAAGCCCCATCCTCCCTGTCCCAAGGCAGCCTGAGTGTTCCTTCAGTGCCACAGAGGCTCCTCTGGCCTCTAGATTCCTGGGAGCCTCCACTCTTGTTTGGATCCCAAGCCCGACTCTCTTAGTTTTCTATCTCATTTTGCTGAAACACATCCTCTAACAACTCTTCAAGGAAGGAAGACGGAAGGTAACTCCCTGGGTCCTTGCAAGTCTGAAAGGGTTTTTCTCAAAAGCACCGCCCCCCTCCCCTTAAAGTAAGCTCTACACCCAACATGGGGCAAAAGCCTTTGCTTTTGCTGGATATTTTGGTTCAGAATTCTGACTTCTCTGTTCATTGTCTTTTGACTATTGCTGCTTCTGCAATCCAGTGCCCCTCTCATCCCCAGACCTTTGGATTGGCCATTTGCCTTTTTCTTTCGCCAGAAGTTTCCAGGCACTTCTGTCTCTGTTGTCTGAAATTGTAGGTGAGGTTCCTTGGGGTGGGTCTCTCTTCATTTCTGGGCTGAGCCCTCCCTGGGGGTCATGCACTCCTCACCCTCCAGTGACACCCTTCTCCCGACTGTTCAAGTGAACCCAAGCTTGCCCCGCTCCTGGCCAGACACCTCTCCTCAGCTAACTCAGCCAGTGTGTGAGGGATGGGGGTGGGGAGGAGCAGTTTAGAAAAAAAAAAAAAAGATTTTTATGCTACATTTTTTTCACTCACAATGAGAATAGCTATTGTTGAGTCCCATGACTCAAAATTTCAAAGGTGGGGTGCCTGACTGGCTCAGTCAGTAGAACATGCAGAACTTGATCTCGGGGTCATGAATTCAAACCCCACGTTGGTCATAGAGATTACTTAAAAAAAAAAACCCAAAAAGAAGCCTTTTAAAAAACCCCAAATTCAAAAGGTGTAAAAGTATATTTAGTAACAAGTCTCCGCCCACAACCCCATCCCCTCCCTGGCCACGCAGTTCCTCTCCCTGGAGACATTACTAGTTTCTTGCAGATTCTTCCAGAGATGCCAGGTATTCTGTGCAAATTCAAGCAAAAAAAAAAAAAAAATTACCTATAAGACAAGAAATAATGAGTGTTGGCAAGGATGTGGGGAAGAGGAAACTCTTTTGCACTGTTGGTAGGACCGTAAATGGGTTGCAGCCACTGTGGAAAACAGTATGGAGGTTCCTCAAAAATTAAAAATAGAGCCACCATATGATCCAGCAATTCCACTTCTGGGTATTTATCTGAAGGAAATGAAATCAGCATCTCAAAAGCATGTGCACCCTCATGTTCACTGCAGCATTATTTACAATAGGTAAGACATGGAAACAACCAAAGTGTCCACTGACAGATGAATGGATGAAGACAGTGTGGTACACAACACACACACACACACACACACACACACACACACACACACACACGCACACAGGAATATTACTCAGCCATAAAAAAGAAGGAAATTATGCCATTTGCAACAACACAAATAGACCTTGAGTGCATTAAGCTAAATGAAATAAGAGAAAGATTAAACACTATATGATCTCACTTATATGTGGAATCTAAACAAACAAATCCCAAATTGATAGACACAGAGAACAGATTGCTGGCTGTCAGAGGCGGGGGGTAGGGTTGGGCAAAATGAGGGGAAGTTGGTCAAAAGGTATGAACTCCCAGTTATAAGGTAAGTAAATTCTGGGATGTAATCTGTAACATGGTAACTATATTAACCTGATGTATTGCACATTTGAAAGTTGCTAAGAGAGTAGAACTTAAAAGTTCTCATCACAAGAAAAATCATTGTAGCTATGTGGTAATGGATGTTAACTAAACTTATGGTCGTTTCACAAAATATACAAATAATAAATCATGTTGTACACCTAAAATTGATACAATGTGATATGTCTATATCTCAATTTAAATTACTTTAAAAATTAAATATATGTAAAATCTTTCCTCTTCTCCTCCTTTTCTTTACATGAATGATAGCCTACACCTGACATTTTCATAGAAGATACCTCTATCTTTTAGTATTAGTCCTTGAAGAGCTGCCTTATTGTTAAGGCTACAGAGTAGTTTCTGCAAAAATGCAGATTTTATGTAGCTAGTCTCTCAGTGATGGACATTTAGCTTGTTTTCAGTTATTGGCTTTACAGTTTTTTGTGGGGGCGTATTGGTAGGATCAGTCCCTAGTAATGGAACTGTTGGGGCAAAGGCATTTGTTGTTCTCATAGCAGCCCTATTCACAATAGCCCAGAGGGGGAAATGACACAAGTGTCCATCATCTGGATGAATGGATGAACAGATTGTGGTATACACGTGCAATGGAATATTCTTCAGCCATAAAAGAACGAAGTACTGTCACATGCCACAATGTGGATGAGCCTCCAAAGCATTATGCTAAGTGAAAAAAGCCAGATATAAAAGGTCACGCGTTTTATGCTTCCATTCATATGAAATATCCAGAATAGGTCAATCCGTGGAAACAGAAAGCAGACTGCAGGTGGCCAGGGGCTGGACGAGGGAGGAATGGGGAATAACTGCTTAACGAGTACAGTTTTCTTTTGGAGTGATGAAAATGTTTTAGAACTAGAGATGGTGGTTGCACAACATAGTGAATATACTGACTTGATCACTTTAAGATGGTTAATTTTTTTTTAAGATTTTATTTATTTATTTGACAGTGCACAAGCAGGGGGAGAGGCAAAGGGAGAGGGAGAAGCAGGCTCCCCACTGAGCAGGGAGCCAGACATGGGGCTCCATCCCAGGATCCTGGAATCATGACCTGAGCAGACACTCAACTGACTGGGCTGCACAGGCGCCCTGGTTAATTTTATGTTATGTGAATTTCACCTCAATTCATAAAAGGAGGGGAGCATACACATTTACAATTTTGTAGATATTGTCCTACATGAAGGTTGCACCGATTTACTCTCCCATCAGCCTATTTTCCCATCATTTGACCATCATAGGTTTTCATTAAAGTTTTTAATCTTCCCTATAGATATGCAAGTCTAGTTTGATTTCCCTTTAACTTAGTAAGAAAGGATAATCAATTTTCTATAGTTCTGGGAGACCTATTTGTATTTCTTTTTCTGTGGATAGTCTGTATCCTTTGCCCAGTTTCTTAGTGAGCCATTGGGTTTTTTTCATATTGATTTGAGAGCTCTTTATTTATTAAGATTTATTTATTTATTGAGACAGAGAGAGAGAGAAAGAGAAAGGGAGAGACAGAATCTCCAGCAGACTCCCCACTGAGCAGGGAGCCCACCTCGGGACTTGACCCCTGACCCTGAGACTGTGACCTGAGCCAAAATCAAGAGTTGGACACCTAACTGACTGAGCCACTCAGGTGGCTAGAGCTCTTTATTTTGAAGTGAGTTACAGGTATGTTGTTTGTAGCCAATTACAGTTTGTTGTTTGTGTTTTCACTTTGATGGTGGCTTTTTCCATACAGGCTTTCAATTTTTAATGTAAATGAATTTATCAATTTTTTTTTCTTTTATGGTTGCTGAGTTTGGTGACATACTCAGAAGGCCTCCTTCATTCCAAGATTCTACAAAATTTTCCCTTTGTTTCTTCAGTATTTTTATAGCTCACTTTTTTTTCTAAAACATTTAATTAAACCTTGGATCCACCTGAAAAAAAAAACAGTATGCTCTAATAATTTCAATGGCTGACTCTGTATTGAGAAACATCAGAAAGGAGCAACCAACCTGTTCCTGGATACTGTGTTCAGCCTGGACTCATGTGAGGAGGGACTGTGTGCGGCTTTCTCATCTTTCCACCTGAAACCAGATCTCAGCCAGGGATGGAGTCTGGGCACTCTGCTGGCCCTCGGGCTCCTTGCCTGCATCCCAGGCTGTGAAGCTGAGCACGACTCGAACGCACCTCCCAAGGAGTTTCCTTCCCTGGTCAAACCCTCACCACTGAGGTGTGAGATACTGATGGAGGGCGCGAGGACCACTGCCCTCAGGACCACTGAGAAATCAAAGGATTTCTCATCCTTTGATTGTTCCATTGTCTTGAGTAAAGGAAACTAAGTTCCTGGGGGACACTCACTACCTCATAACCTGCATCAAATCACTTCATCTCTCCAAACCTCAGATTCTTCAACTGTAAAATACAGTAACACCTCCCTCATAGGGCTGTCATGAGGATTAAATAAATGTGCCCAGTACATAGTAAGTGTGCAACAGAAAGACTAATTTGTTTTTGTTTTGTTTTCTTAAGTAAACACCCAACATGGGGCTCAAACTCAAGACCCTGAGATCCAGAGTCTCGTGCTCTACTGACTGAGCCAGACAAGTGCCCCAAGACTCTAATTGTTCATTCATTTATTTATTTGGCAAATATTACTGAACACTTACCAATGCTGGGCACTGTTCTAGGTGTTGGGGATGTGGCAGGGGCAAAAACTTAACTACCGGTAGAAGGAAAATAAGCAGGTAAATACAGGTATCAGGAAGCAATAAAAACAAAGAGAGTGATGCAGGCAGGGGTTAGTCAGGCAACAGGGGAGACCATGCAGTTAAGGTACTCACAGTTCATCCAGTGATGGACATTTCTACAGGGAACATAACATTATTACTTCATGAACCTGTTTTCTTGGCTAATTCCCGCTTCCAAGAAGTGGAGGCTCTTCTGCTTCTGTGGAATTGCCAAGTGCTCCCGTGGAGGTGGCCAGGTCTGAGAGCTGATGGAACTGTTGGCTCTGCGTGGCTCGTCCCATCTGCGATGTGGCAGGGCTGAGTCGGGGACTTGCCTATGAACTCTTCTTTCAAGGGCAGGCCATGAGGCCTCAGAGTCTTTATTTTACATTGTGAGTTCTGAGGTGGCCAACGTGAGCAAACTACACAGGTTCAGTCCTCAGGGTGTGCACAGGAAGATAAAGAGGAAAATCCTTCAGGGGTGGCTGAGCCACCTGGGTGGCTCAGGTGGTGATCTCGGGGTTCTGGGATCCCACCCCACATCTGGCTTTCCGCTCAGCAGCAAGTCTGCTTCTCCCTCTCAAATAAATAAAATCTTGAAAAAGAAAATTCTTCAGGCCGCCTGGACGGCTCAGTGGGTTAAGCAACGAACTCCTGATTTCCGAGCAGGTCATGATCTCAGGGTTGTGGAATCTTAAGCCTGGCGTTGGGCTCTGCACTGGGCGGTGAGACTGCTTAAGATTCTCTCTCTCTCTCCCCATCCCCCCCCCCCGCGCTCCCTCTCTTAAAAAAAAAAAAAAAGAAGAGAAAAGAAAATCCTTCAGTTTTGTGTTTGCTGGACTCTCAGGAAATGAGAAACCAGGGCTTGGGGCACACAGAGGAGGGCGCAATGCTCCTTGCTCAGCGTGGGGTAGTGGAACAGTGAGCAGAGAGCTCAAGCTAGGGCCAGACGGCAGGCAGGCCCCCACTCCATCATTAATTCTCAGCAACCCCAGCCCCAAAACGTGGCCTCCCTCCCAATCTTCCCAGCCAAAGTCCGGGACAGGCTCTGATTGGACTGACTGGGGTCACCTGTTCACCCCTGACTCACCGGGGCCTGGAAGATACGTTCTGTTGATCGGCCAGTCACAGCAGGGCTGATTGCCAGAGAAGGCAAAGCGGCTGGGTATGGAGCCAGAAGTTGATTAGGAGATGAGAAGTTCCTCACTCGCCAAGCTCTGGCCCTCCTTCAACCTCTGGGCCTTTGCACATGTAGTTTCCTCTTCTCCGAAAACTGTTCCTTCTGTTCTACTAGGCTGACCTCCAGGTCTCTACCCAAACTTCACCTCTTGGTAGCCCCTGCTCTCGGGGCTGGGCCCTCACTGCCACAGGTTCATCTGCTAACTACTTGGTATGTCAGTCTGACTCCTACTCTCAGGATAGGGCCTGCAGCCAGGCCAGCCTCGAGGGGCCAGTGCTTCGCAGGAGGCGCTCAGGAAACGCCTCTAGGAAAAGGGATGCGGCACAAACACACGCGCGCACATCCGCACACGAACCCTCTTCCCGGCCATAAATGGCCATAAATGGGGCGCGCATCCCACCCCACTTGGAAACCCGCCTATCCTGGGGCACACAGACTCGCGCGCGCACTCCCGGACGCGCCGCAGCCACAGACCCCTTCGCTCAGGGCGCACAGACACACACGCCCGCGTGCGCCCACGCACGCCCGGCCACACGCAGGCCCTGTTCTCCGCCACAAACAGGCACGCGCAGGCGCGCGGACACACCGATCAACTCCCCGCGATAGGCGCACCCGGAACAAGGCGCACGGTGCGCGCACGCGCGGCCCCGAGTTCCCGCCCCCTCCTGGCCTCGCCCGTCGGGGGCGGGGCGCGCTGGGCCGGGTCCTGCGGCACCGCCCGGGAAGCTGCGCGAGGCTGGGCGGTCGCCGCCACATCCTCCTCCTCCTCCCGGGCCGGGCGAGCAGAGCGGGTCCAGGGCCGAGCCGAGGGCTCCAAGGGCGCGGGCGGAGCGGGGCACGGAGCCATGGCGCACCAGACGGGCATCCACGGTGAGGGCGGATGGTGGGCGGGCAGGGGGCCGAGGGTCTCCGCTCGCGGCTGCGCCCCCTCCCTGGCGCTCAGCCCCTCTCTCCTCCCTGGCAGCAGCCTGGGGAAGCTTCCTGTTCTCTTTTGCAGCCGCGGGTCGCCTGGGGTGGGCACATCTGGGGGCGTGCGACTTACTGTGCATGGTTAGGAGTGGGTGTACATGTAGGTACACAGTTGGAGTGAAAATATCTGTGTGCCCATCTAGGGGTGGATGTGCCTGTGTGCACCCTTCTATATATTTTTGTTCCTTTCTGGGGGTGGGGGTACCGGATGTGCACATCTGGGGGATGTGCACTTGTGTGTACAGTCCTGTGTTTGCACATCTGGATGTGACTGCTTGTGTACGTCTAGGGTCATTCATGCACATGCACTAATAGCTGATTGAATGACCACTGTCGCATGGAACCATCTTCAGGCATCAGTGTTTTGTGACTCTGTGCACATGTCTGTGGGTGTCTGTGTGTGTGTGCAGTTTGGGTACATCTCAGTGTGCATTTGTTACCACGGATGCATGTGTCAGATGTGTCTGTGTTTGGCTTCTATGGGTTTGTGACTGTGTGAGGAGTGGTCCCTGACCTTTGGCTCCTCCCAGGACCCTCACACATTTGAGCAAGCTAGACTAGGGAAAACCGGGGCCAGGACCCTCACAGTGGGATCGGAAGAGTTGCCAATCTGACCTTGACCTCTGACCTCCCTACCATTTTCCACTCTGATCTCCTGAGTCTGCTCCAGCCAGGGTTGGAAGGTCCCAGCTCCAGGATAGAGGAAAAAAGAGGGTCCACATACAGGGTTTGTGAGGGAGGGTCCTGGCTTTAGAGACTCCAGGCCAATACCCCCTACCCTAAGCTTCTCCAGCCTAGAGCATCACCCCCTCCCCAGGAGCCAGGTGTCCTAACCCTACCCTGGTCTGAGTGTCCCCCTTCTGTCACTGGCTTGGGAGGACTGCCTGGCCTGTGGGAAAGGCCCAGGCTGCTTGCCCAGACAGCCGACAGCCTGGTGGTTTGGCCATCAGCCACTCCTCCCACCACACCAGGATCCCCAGCCCGGAGACACCACCACCATCGACCAGCCCGACTGCCTGGATCTCAACTTGGCTTGTGGTCGTAGTGGCTGCTTGGTGGCCAGACCAGCTAGAGGGTTTCCCTGGCTCCGCCCCACAGGACCAGAGAAGGCAGGGGTCTGGGTCAGGGCCAACCTCCTGCCAGTGGGCCAGCCTCTGCTGGAGGGGCTGGAGGGTGGCTTCGTGACTCAGCCCCACAGAAGGGAACAGATGCCCCCTGGACCTGCCCCTTCCTTCCCCTTTGTCTGGTCACTGCTGCTGCCTCCATCTGAGAGTGGATCGGAAGTCAGGGCCCCTCCTCCCTGCTCAGGACTGACAGGTCCTGTGGCCAAGGACCTGCTTCACACCTTCATTTCCCATGTGGTGAGACAGACCTGCCTAGGGGATCACTGGGGACTGGGCCGTCCTCAGCCCTTCTGCCTATGAGCAGCCCACTCCTTCCCATTTCTGGCCTGGGGAGGTGGCAGGTGAGATTGAATGCCCTGGATGCCCAGATGCCCTCCCAGTCGTGGCCATAAGTGTGGATCTGTTGACCTCAGAGCAGGGAAGCGGTGGCGGGGGGGGGGGGGGGGCCTTTTAAATCTGGGGGTTACCCGGGGGGGGGGGGGGGCGGGGCAGCAGAAGCGGGGGCAGGGAGGTGGGAGAGCATGAATCTTTGATGATAGAGGCTCAGGTGTCCCAGGCCTGGCCTCTGGATTATTGATGGTGGCTGAGGAGTCATGGAGGGGGATGTCTCTTCCACTACTGGGGTGTCACTCTGTCCTAGTAACTCTAGAAGGGGCGTGGCAGCCTCCCTTAGGGGAGCTTCTTGGCTTTACCTCCCGGAAGGTCTGAGCAGGTGGAAAGATGCCATCATTAAAGTAATAAAACTTAACAATTGTTATTCATAGAGGCCCCATTACTGAGCATTTTTTCCCATTTACTCCTCAGCATGGCTCTCTACAGCTTGGGAGTATTAGCTCCACAGTATAGATGAGTCTGAGGCTCAGCAAGGTCGGAGGTCACACACAGCTGTGGGAAAGATGGAGACCCAGAGGCCAGGCTTTACCTCGGCGACCTGCTTGTGGGGTCTGCTGATAGGCGGTTGTGTCTCCATACCATGGTCACTCGGTTGGGACCCTGCTCACCCAGCAGCCATGGAGGGTGGTATACAGCCTGAGGTCTCAGGCTCAGGGTCACCCTGCCTGGCGGGCCCCTGAGGACATGACCTGAGTTTGTTTTCCTAAAGCCCCCCCACCCCACCCCCAAGCTGCCCAGTCTGGGCCCTATAAATATTCTCTGACCTCAGCCCTCCAGCTGTGTTCCTGCAGAATTCTCCTGACCCCTGGGTAACCTCAAGGTCATGCTGGCCTGGCTCTGCACACCCAGAGACCCAAGTCAGGCCCTTCCCCACTTGGACTTTGGTTTCTGCGTCTAAACCACTGCTAGATCTGTGACGTCCCTGGTCCTCACCTCTGCCCTTGGGATCCTGGGTCATGGGATGTCACCTTCCAGCTCTGTGACACTAAGACCAAGACAGGGTCTGTACTGAAGAGTTCCTGATTGCCACTCCTCGCCTGGAAGCCTTCTGGACGGCCTCAGGGCTGAGGCCTTGTTGCTCCTGGCAGGGCTGGGTATGGGCTAGGCGTGGGCTGGGCTCCTGGCCTCTCAGGGTGAGGCAGCCTGGTTGACAGGCTGGGGCCGGGTGTACAGGCCTGTGTGTGTGTTACTCCGGGGACCGTGTCTGTGTGTATGTTGGAGTGTCTAAATGTGTGTGTCCACTTATGTTTGACCAAATGAGTGGGTTTTCACGTGTGAGGGTGTTTGCATTTCTACTCCACTCTGTCACATACGGGCTTATTTGTTACATTGACATGCTGGACTGAGTAGGTATCCGATGGCATACGCAACAGTGACGCATGTGTGCCTGTGTGTGTGTGTGTGTGTGTGTGTTCATGGACATAGTGGTCAGTGCACAGTGGGGGAATTTGCTCACTTATTTCTGTGTTTGTGGATATGACAGTGTCATGGGCCAGTTCAGTGCTGGGCCTTCCTAGGGGGCAAGGGACAGGTGGGGGCCATTCGCTCTGGTGGGCCTGGCCTGTCCAGAGGCCCCCCCCTTCCTTGAGTGGGCTGGCCCATCCCCGCCTCCCCTGTCACCAGAGCTATCTCAGCCAGCAGGCCACACTGCTGGCTAAATTTGGGAGCTTCTGTTCATGGGCCGTGTCAGGTTCCCAGTCACATGGGGGGCCCTATTTAACCCGGCTCCCAGCTCCACCAGCAGACCCCACAGGACAGAGCGGGCCCTGAACGTGTCCCAGTTCCCCCTGCTCACCCTGCCCGCTCATCCCTCACCATGTTTCTTGTTCTCATAGCCACCGAGGAGCTGAAGGAATTCTTCGCCAAGGCACGGGCC